TAGGGTATTTCTTCAGTTTTGGGTCCTGAACTTCTACGTCTCCACCTACAGTCATGTCTAAGAAATACTAGCATAGATTCAAATATAGCTCATCTTGTTTCCCTATTTTCTCCCTCTTTTAAACACAGATGGTCCAGGCTTAGGCTGGCCACCTGCAACACCAGCATCCCACATGAGCAACCAGTTCAAGTCCCTCAGCTCGTTTCTGACCCAGCTCCATGCTAATCTGCCTAGGAAGGCAGAAGATGGTCCGAGTACAGTGGCCCTTCCCACCCACATGGGAGACTAGGATGGAACTCCAGCCTCCTGGCTTCAGTCTGGCCCAGCCCTAGTTGTTGTGGCCATCTGAGAGAGAACCTCAAATGGAAAAACAAGGTCAGTCGGTCTCTGTCTCTCTCCCTCCCTTCTTCCTCCTTTTCTCTAACTCACCTTTCAAATAAATAAAATAAAATCTTAAAAAATTCCACGGTTGGTCTTTAAAATTCAGATATAAGCTCAGACATCTGTGTGCTTTTTAAGATTTATTTATTATTTATTTGAAAGGCAGAGTTACAGACAGAGACTGGTTCACTCCAGAAATAGCCAAAACGGCCAGGACTGTGCCATTCTAAAACCAGGAGTCCAGAGCTTCTTCCAGGTCTCCCATGTAGGTACATGATCAAGCACACGGGCCATCCTCCTCTGCTTTCCCAGGTACATTAGCAGGGAGCTGGATTGAGAGTGAAGCAGCCAGGATTTGAACCAGTGCCCGTATGGGACACTGGCATCACAGGCAGTGGCTTAACCCACTAAGCCACAACTCCAGCCTCCATTTATGTACATTAAAATGACATAATTAAGAAATACACAACATAAATAAAAGTAGAGCAAAGGCCAGTGTTGTGGTAAAGCACATTAAGCTGCCACTTGGGACTTCTGCATTCCACATAGGAGTGCTGGTTCCATTCTAGCTTCTGCTAACACATCTGGAAGGTAGTAGATGATGGTCCAACTACTTGGGTTCCTGCCACTCACGTGGGAGACCTAGATGGAGGCTTTGTGGGCATTCAGGGAGTGAATCAGTGAATGAAAGACTGATCTCTCTCTGTGTCACTCTGCCTTTCAAAGCAATCAATCAATAAATCTCAAAACAAAACAAAACAAAACAAAAAAAAACACACTATAGTAACCACCACTAAGCTATCTACACAACAGTCTTTTAACATGGTGGCTTTAAACAGACATTTGCTTATTACTAAAATACCACATAAACAGGTTTTTAGTCCAGAAATCTAATAACTTTTAAACAATTTCCCCTTCCCTTTAAGTCTCATTTTAGAAATAATTTCAAAGCTAATGTAAGTAGTTGAAGAAAAAAGAAACTCACAAGGTAATTTAAAAAATAAAGGCTTTAAAAGGTCAAAATGCAAAAGAAACACAAAATACAACTAAAATATATAGGCAGCCCATCATATAATAATGTAGTTTCCATTACTCTCTTATCTTCTATAATTTAATGATCACCACTCAGTAAAAACTATTAAATCTTCTATACTTCAGATCACAAAAATGTCGAAAGTATAATGAAGTCTCCATTTTACACATGATACACCAAAACCAATTATTTGACTCATATGACAACTTTCTATAGCAATTCTCCTTCCTCAGATTTTACATGTACTCCAGGAAAGACACAATTAATTTACTTGTTCATAGCTTCCTCTACACTGCTGCCTTTGCCGACAATGCCCTCCATCTCTTCCACTTGAAACAACTAGTCATTGTTCAAAATCCTGCTCAGGTGCTAGTATCTCTATGAAACATTCTCTGACATGCCCCTCAGGGTAATCATTCCCTCCTCTGAAATAGTTCCACAATGTAGTTTCCACGTATTTCTGCTACTGAATAAACTCCATTTAAAATAATCCACTGTTACACCTTGCCCCCAGTGATCCTGATCTCCCGATCCTGAAATTCAAAGGCTTCTTCCTATTCCTAACCACCGCTACGTGATCTGGGTATAGAAAATAAATTTATTGGGGCCGGCGCTGTGGTACAGCAGGTTAACACCCTGGCCTGAAGCACCGGCATCCTATATGGGCGCTGGTTCCAGACCTGGCTGCTCCACTTCCGATCTAGCTCTCTGCTATGGCCTGGGAAAGCAGTAGAAGATGGCCCAAGTCCTTGGGCCCCTGCACCCACGTGGGAGACCCAGAAAAAGCTCCTGGCTCCGGATCAGCGCAGCTCCAGCCGTTGCAGCCAACTGGAGAGTGAACCATCGGATGGAAGACCTCTCACTGTGTAACTCTGACTTTCAAATAAATAACTAAATCTTTTAAAAACATAAATAAATTTATTAAACCTAGTGTTTATTTCATGTTTAAATTCCCCAGGTAAACAACTATCTATGCACTGAAAGATGTGCTTGGGGGCAGGTGCTGTGGCGCAGTGGCTTAACGCCCTGGCTGAAGCGCTGGCATCCCATAGGGGCGCCGGTTTGAAACCCAGCTGTTCCACTTCAGATCCAGCTCTCTGCTATGGCCTGGGAAAGCAGTAGAAGATGGCCCAAGTCCTTGGGCCCCTGCACCCAAATGGGAGACCCGGAAGAGGCTCCTGGCTTTGGATCGGCACAGCTCCAGCCGTTGTGGCCAACTGAGGAATGAACCACTGGATGGAAGACCCTGCCCCCTCTATCTGCCTCTCCTCTCTCTGTGTAACTCTTTCAAATAAATAAATAAATCTTGAAAAAAAAAAAAAAAAAAGATGTGCTTTAGAAGTAGAAAAAAATACATATTCACTACAGGTCATCCCCAATTCCTACAATGCAACATGGATTAACAATGATTATTTCCAGTTCCAAGTTGTTTTATGATGGTTAGTACCATTCTACCAATTAGTCATCACAACTAACTTTGCCTGAAAGCATACTAGTGTAGGAAGCATATTTGGTTTTAAAGTTCTGACTTGAAGTGGGATGCATCAGATTTAAAATGAATTACCTAAACAGTAAGCAGTGGCGCTTCTGAAATACTTGTACTCTTGGGTTTCCGGTATTATGATCTCATCTGTAAGTTGTGACCTCACTAGGTCAGGAAAGAAGACAGCCACCATATTTCAATCCAGCAGATCATAATTAGGGCACCTCAAAAACTCAGAGCAATCAAATATATCCCTTTTGATTTTTTTTTCTTTTCAGATTTATTTATTTATTTGAAAGGCAGACTGATAGAGGGAGAGACAGTTCTGCCATTCGTTGGCTAACTCTCTAAATGGCTGCAACAGCCAAGTCTGGACCAGGCCTAAGGTCTGCCAGGAAACCCATCCTGGTCTCCCAACCAGGTGGCCGAGGTCTGCTGTCTTTCTAGGTGCATTCGCAGGAAGCTGGACTGGAAGCAGAGCAGCCAGGACTCAGAACAGTCTCAAGTGGCAGCCTATCTGGCTGGACCACAACACTGGCTCCGTATCCCTGTCCCCTGCCTTTCTTTTTTTTAAAGATTTATTTACTTTGAAGGTCAGAGTTACAGAGAGGGATCTTCCATCTGCTGGTTGATTCCCCAGAAGGCCACAAAGGCCAGTGCTGAGGCAGTCCAAAGGAGCAGGGCCAGCAAGAAGCCTGAAGCTACATCCAGGCCTCCCACTTGGTCGGCAGGGGCCCAAACCCTGGGGCTATTATCCACTGCTTTTCCCAGGCCTTTAGCAGGGAGCTGGATCAGAAGCAGAGCAGGACACAAACCAGCACCCATATGGGATGCCTGCCACAGCTTAAGCTGTTATACCAAAACGTGGGTTCCCCACTTCCCTTCTAATAAAAGGAATACCATCAACCAGAAAGCCTCACTCAAAAAGAAAAAAAAAAAAAAAGAATAAATATGATGTAGGCGCCAACTGGCGTGGCCTCACTGAAATGCAGTTTAGATTGGAGATAACATGAAACAGCACTGGACATCACTGATTTAAGACATTAAAACAATTCATTATTTCAGGTTCTGTTCCTAACACGACTGTATCATTCGATTTGACTTCTGAAAAACTAATGTCCACAGCAAACGGCCAAGTGCATACAGGAACTCTGCTCACAGCCCACCTGCTCACAGCCCACCTACTGCAAACAAACAACATAACGTGCCCAAACTCCATTTTCTCCTCACAATTAAGTACTGCATCCCCTAAATCCACAGCTCCCAATTTTCTGTGGGCTGAGAAATCAAAGCAAGGAGTAGGAGCAGGCACTGAGAGGGGACCCAGGGGCTTCTGTCACGGATAAGAAAGCCCTGGTCTTTTCACCCGTCCCCAGTGTTCGCTTGGTCAATTGTAGGCTCTTGATTTTCTCCAGAGGGCTGACGTCTCTCAGTAAAAGTTACCAAGACCACTTATGACAATTAATAGACGATTAATTAATTAATTAATGAGAATTTGACAGCCACCAACGGTTGAGGAAAAAAAAAATCCTATAGATCCTATTAAGTCCTATAGATCAAGGATTCTAATACTTCAACGCCCTATTTCTCATTTTCACAGCGACACACGTCAAGTGTTTTAAACTGATTATTTCAGTTAGACGCACGCAGAGACATCGCTGAAAGGTGTAGGAAAGAAAACATCACTCACTGGCTTTTCGGTATAAGAAAGATGATTTTTCATCAGCACTTCTTAAGACAGCGTTAGCATCTACTCAAGTGAAAAATCTGGCTAAGGCCGATACGTAAAAGGGGGAGAGCGAGCGTGGAGAGAAAAGGACAGAGAAACTACTTTTGTCATTACCCGTCAACATGCAGTAAACACGTAAATGCTAGAAATCTGACCCCCCCCCAAAAAAAAAAACCTGAAAGACTGTGCCAAATAACAGCCCCCTCCCCCCAAAAAAAAGAAAAATCAAAGATTAAAAAAAAAAAAAAGTCTAAATTTTCGCCTCGCTCCGTTTCCAGAGCTGGCAGGGAGGAGGAGCTCGATATTCAAAAAGTAATTCACTATACCTCCTGCGTGAACCAAAGCCAAATCTCACCCGATGCTTCCAAACTTACTCGCAAAGTACGCCGAGGAGGAACCAGGGCCCCGGCGAGCCCCGAGGCGGGCTGCAGGCGCTGCGAAGGGTGGAAAACAGCGGGTCGGGGCGTCGCTCCAGAAATTTCCAGGCGCCGGGCGGCCCGGGGACGGGGACGGGGGCGGCGGCACCTGTCAGCCGGGCGGCCCCCGGCGGGGTGCAGGCCCGCGGCCTGCGGTGCGGCCCCTGCGCCCCCGAGCCCTGCGCCGAGCGGCCGCCCCGCGGCCCTGCCCGAGAGCCCGGCCCTCCCGCGCCCTCTTGCCCAGCGGCTCCGGCCAAGCGGGCGGCCTCAGGGGCCGCGTCCTCACCACGACCAGCCCGAGGGTGGGCGCTCGGGAGGGCGCGTTCGAACCGCCGCAACCGCCCTGAGGGGCGCGAGGCCGGCCGGCCGGCGTCCGCGGACTCACCGGGCCTCAGCGGCCGCCGCGTCTCCCGCAGCTCCTGAGGTGGCCGCCGCACTGGGCGTTGGGACTGGGCAGGGTCAAGTGTCGGCGGGGGCGGGGCGCGGGCGCGCGTCGGCCCGCCGGGCTGGACGCGGGGACGCGAACGGGTCCCGGGCCGGCCAGCGCGGCCGCAGCTGCGGGGAGGGGTGGGGAAGCGAGCGGGCGGGCGAGGGAGCGAGCGCGGGAGGGAAGCCCGGCGGAGGGCCGGCGTGAGAGCCGCGGGCGGGGGGCGGGGCCTGCGCGCCCGCCGCCGCCGCGCTGGGGTTTGTTTATTTGCTCGGTTGACGGGCGTCGCTGGCGCGGGGTCCGCAGGCGGGCGGGTGGACGCGCGCGCCCCGAGTTGAGGGAAGAGGGAGGACTAGAACCACCTGCTGGAGAAGGGGAGCTACGGGGGCCGGGCAGGGTCCAAACGTCTCACGTAGGCGGCGGCGCGGCGGTCCTCGGGGTCACGGGGAGGGAGAGAGAGAGAGAGGGAGAGGCGCCGTCCCGGAGCGGCGGGAGGAGGCGGGCGGCCTCGCGGGCCACGCCCCCGCAGCATCGCCGAGCGCGCGGTGAGCGGGCCCCGGGCCGGCGCGAGGGGCCGAGGGCGCGGGGCCGACCTGCGCTCGGTGAAGCGGGGCCGGCGCTGCGAGTGCCGGTGCCGGAGGCGAGCCCGCCCGGAGGGCTCTGTGCGGGCGGTGACGCACCGTGCCCGGGTCTCTGTGGCGTCACGCTCCGCATCCCGGAGCGACGGTGAGAGACCCAACGCCTGCCGGCCACGACGTGCCGGGGCTGGACCCCGGAGACCGGCCGGACGCCTGCCACCGCCTCCCGCGACCCTGAATCACTGTGACGTGATTGGACCCCTGCCCCCGTAGAATAACACACCTCGGCGCTACAGAGAGGCGTGGAGGGGTATGTTACCCTCACCCCCAAAAAGTAGGGACGAAAAGGGAGATGAAAGCGGGGCAGGTGCACGCTGAGGAGGACCAAGGGGCATCGGGCAGGAAGGCAGCGTGGAGGAGACGGCCTTGGGGTGGGCCCGCAGGAGTGGAGAGGCAGAACCCCCTGGCCTCCCGAAGTGAATCAGAGTTGTGTGTGCGGAACCGGCAGAGCCTCTGGGTGTGTTGAGAAGTGGCAGAGACAACAGGAGAGTGGGGGCCGCAGATAGCAAGTGCAGGGGTCTGTAGTCACTTCGTAGCTTGCCTTACCAACAGTCTGGGGAGAAGAAAAGGACGTCTCTTCCTTGGGGCTGCTGATGTCTCTGTGAAGGTATGCAGACACGTTGGCAGAGACCTGGACAGGAGGAATTGAGGAGTGTGGTTGAGATGCGGTGTAGAAACAGTAATCTGAAGAATCTAGCCACCGACTCATTGGTTGTGCGTGGGAAGAGAGAAATCAAAGATGGCAGAGATTTGAGTTTGTACATACTTAGAAAAGAAACGGTTGTAACAGAGAAGGTTCGCAGGTGGAATTTTGAAAGACGACGATCAGGTTAGATTCGGACATTTTAAGGGTTTGAAGGGTTGTCAAGACAGCCAGGTAGAAGCGGCGCTAAGAAATTAGGAGTAAAGGCTTGGAATACCGGGAAGAGGACTGAGCGAGGCACCGATCGGGGACTGCTCCTCTGTCTGGCAGCAGTCTCACCGTGAGGAAGAACAGGGTCTCGGGACGTATTGAGAGACTTGCTGCTCAAGGTCTGGCGGATGGCCCGGCAGCGTGGTCATCACTGAGGCATCCGTGAGACACGTGGACCCTCATGCCCCACCCCAGAAGCCTGAGAGGTCTGTACCGCGTCCGAGTTTGAGGAGCTCTGATGTAGATGAGGGAAACCAGCCCAGAGAGGGGGAAAAGAAGCGGTGGAACCAGGATTATGCAGAATCACCAGCGCAAGGTGAATCGGGTTTCACAAAAGCAGGGTGGGAAGGCGTATTGGTTAACAGTCTCCCAAACCACAGAGGCAGACAAGCCCCAGGAAGAAGGCCTTTTGTGATTAGGTGGGGTGGTCGTTATGACCAAGTGCTTGTCATCGAAGGTGGGAGACTTCCACTTCCTGATCAGGGGTAGTCTAGGGATCCAGCCCCCCTAGTTCCTGGATAGATGGGACAAACGGAAGAAAATAGGTAGAGCAGAAAGCGAGAGAAAAGAGTTCTAGTTGCTTGTAATTTCCCAGTGAAATAAGGTACAAGACCGCCCGGCATATGGCTGACCCATCACATTTCAGCCTGTCTTTCTCCTTGAACAGGCAGAGCGCTTGCTTCTCAGCCTCCCTCTCGGTTCGATTTGGCCAGGCGTTCAGTGACCGTCAGTCAGATGTGGCCAGAAGCTGTGCCCCCCACTGTCAGGCCAGCGCCTCTGCGAGTGCGTGCTTGTCCTCGGTGCGTGTTCCTTTCTGCCAGCTGGACCTTGGACACGGGGACTCTGCTCTGATTATGCAGATGGCTGCCAGGGCCCTCTGGTTGGCAGAGCCACAGGAACGGAGGTGCCTGGACGAACGAGAGCTGCGCCCTGACCTGGCGCACTCAGTCGTGTGAGCGAGTGTATTGGTCATGTATTTTTCTCCAGCTGTATTCAGTTGCTCATGTGCTAGTGTTGAGTTGCAGGTTTGTTTGTTTTTAAGATTTATTTATTTATTTGAAAGGCAGAGTTAACAGAGACACAGGGGCAGAGAGGGAGAGAGATCTTCCATCTGCTGGTTCACTCCCCAGATGATTGCAGTGGCCAGAGCTGCGCTGATCCGAAGCCAGGAGCCAGGAGCTTCTTCCGGGTCTCCCATGCAGGTGCAGGGGCCCAAGGACTTAGGCCATTGTCTGCTGCTTTCCCAGGCCATAGCAGAGAGCTGGTTGGGAAGTGGAGCAGCCGGGTCTCGAACCGGCGCTGAAATGAGATGCCAGCACTGCAGATGGTGGCTTTACCTGCTGCTGCACGGTACTGGCCCCAAGTTGCAGTTTTGGCAATAACCAGGACTGAGATTTGGCCAGGCAAGTGTCATGGAGAGAGAAGGGCAAAGCGGAGGAAGCACTGTGATATCAGAGGTGGTAGGAGGGGGCTGGGGAATGGCAGGAAGGTAGTAGTGCAGCTAGGTGGCACTTCTGATCAGGCTGCAGGATTGCTGGAGTTTAGGTACCATAGGGAATGGCCTGGAGAGAGAAAAGTCAGAGAGTAGGAGTCTAGCGGCTGTAGTTATTAGGATTCAGGCAATGATCTTGAGAATGGGTGATTGAAGTAGCAGAGGTACAGGACCCCTTGAAGAGAAGAAATCAAGGAATTGAATGTAAGTGTTTTGAAAGGAACATCCATGTAGTTTACATATATTAAGTATACTATGTGAGAATTATCACAGGACTGATAACACAATAGTGTTGGAGTAGTGAGAATTCTCGGAGAGAGTGATGGTGAGCCTGGTACTAAACTCTTCAAACAATGAGGGGTTTGAATTCTTGGAATTAAGGTGCTCAAGGCCATCGGGGGTTTAATGTTTGCATCTCTGCAGATATCACATTTCATTTGAGCAGGTACTTTTAAGTTTTGCGTGACTAACATGCGATCTCTGACCGCTTCTTTTCTGACCTCTCAAATCATCGATGGTAACTGCTTGCTTTTACAGGAAGTGTCCATCTGTCTATTATAAACCCAATGCATGCCAGGCTTCCCAGTTCAAATGATTATACTTTAAAATTTGTCATAAATTTATGAGCTATTGGGAAAAGTCTACCATGAGTGTATCCCAGATAAATAGTTCTATATGATGCTAGCTTTGCCACCTCAAATATTATAAAGATTCCAAATCTACATTTAAAAACCAGCTATAGTTTTTTTAAATTAATTAATTAATTTGAAAGTCAGAGTTACACAGAGAGGAGAGGCAGAGAAGAGAGAGAGAGAGGTCTTCCATCCATTGGTTTACTCCCGAGTTGGCCACAATGGCTGGAGCTGTGCCGGTCCAAAGCCAGGAGCAGGGAGCCAGGAGCCTCTAGCCTCCTCTGGGTCTCCCACACGGGTTCAGGGCCCCAAGTACTTGGGCCATCTTCTACTGCTTGCCCAGGCCATAGCAGAGAGCTGGATAGGAAGTGGAGCAGCTGGGTTTTGAACTGGCACCCATATGGGGTGCCGGTGCCTCAGGCCAAGGTGTTAACCCGCTGCACCACAGCATTGGCCCCACTACTTGCTTTTACAGGAAGTGTCCATCTGTCTATTATAAACCCAATGCATGCCAGGCTTCCCAGTTCAGAAGATTATACTTTAAAATTTGTTATAAATTTATGAACTATTGGTGAATCTTTTTTTTTTTTTTGGACAGGCAGAGTTAGTGAGAGAAAGAGAGAGATAGAAAGGTCTCTCTTCCGTGGTTCACCCCCCAAATGGCTGCTACGGCACCCCAATCGGGACTAGAACCCGGGGTGCCGGTGCCACAGGTAGATGATTAGCCTAGTGAGCCGCGGCGCTGGCCAATTTATGAACTATTGGGAAAGGAACACCTTGAGTGTATTCCAAATAAATAGTTCTGTAGTGATGCTAGCTTTGCCACCTCAAATATTATAAAGATTCCAGATCTACATTTAAAAACAGCTATGGTTTCTTTTTTTAAAAATTTGTCTTTCTTTTTTTTTTTAAGATTTATTTATTTATTTGAGAGGCAGAGAGAGAGAGAGAGAGAGAAGTCTTCCACCTGCTGGTTCACTCCTCAATTGGCTGCAACGGCCGGAGCTGTGCTTCTTCTGGGTCTCCCACACGGGTTCAGGGCCCCAAGGACTTGGGCCATCTTCTACTGCTTTCCCAGGCCATAGCAGAGAACTGGATTGGAAGTGGAGCAGCTGGGTCTAGAACTGGTGCCCACTTGGGATGCTGGTGCCTCAGGCCAGGGTTTAACCTGCTGCGCCACAGTGCTGGTCCCCAGCTATAGTTTCAAAATGGATAGGGGTTGACTAAACACCTGAGAAATAAAAAATAGTAGGATTACCTGTTATTGGAAAATGATGTACCATACTGTATAGCATGGGGGCTCAAAATTAGGCTGCCAGGGATTGAATCATAGCAGTCTCTTTGTAAAGTTACTGTGAAAATAACAGATAACATATGTTATATGAGGATATTTAAAAGTGCTTGTGGAAAATAGAATGTTTATTTTTGTGCAAACTTTTTGTGAAATCCATTCATAGATTTCTCATAATATGCATTGTCCATGAA